AGTTTTCTGTTTTTCCTGCATTATGTTAATGCATCTTCTAAACTTCCATGAATAGATCTGTGAGTCTGGGCTCCAGCACGGAATGTGTGTGCATGCGGGGCATGCGTAGGGCAATCCAGTAGAAGTTCGGAACTGATGAACAGCTTGTAAAAGTGATCTGATCTGATCTTCTTCGACTGTTCAGCTCAGATGTAATGAACTGTTCGAAGAGTTCTTCCGACCTTAGGGAAACTGCTCAAGCAGTTCCGTTCAGATCAACACCTCACTGAGGAAGTCCTCTGATGGACCTCATCTGTTCTGAAAGATAGGTTGTTTTTTATGGAAAACTAGGATGCTGACATTGACACCTGGGACGCTAGAGGCATCACCTGAACTGCTAGAGACATCACGCAGGTTGCTAGTAGTATTATCTGGAATGCTAGAAGCATCACTAGATTTCTGGAAGCCTCACATGGGTTACTATAGACATAACCTCGGATACCACAGGTACCACTTGGGTTGTTCGCAGCATCGTAGGTGATGCTCCTCGCTTTCTATGTGACGCTTCTAGCATCACATATAATATAACCAGCATTCCGGGTGATGCGCTTAGCAGTCTAGATGATGTCTCTAGCATCATAATGATGCTTCTATCATTTCAGGTAATATCTCTATGAACTCAGGCGATGCCTCTAGCATTTCAGTGATGCTACTAGCATCTCATGTAATGCTACTGGCATGCTAGGTAATGCCTCTGGCATTCCAGGTATCGGTGCTGCTGTGGGTGCGGACTTAGGCTGTGAATTGCGCGTGTAGGTTGGTGTCGGTGTGCGCTCCTATGTGGATCTGGGATTCGGATATGATTTCTTGAGTGAATTTGAGTGTTGGGTTGTGGTTGTTGGTATTAGGGTTCCTGTTGCCTTCGTTCTATTCCCAGACTCACGCCGAAACTCTGCAGCCACACCAACAGAACAGTTAATAAAATTTTAGAAGATATATTAACTTAATGCAGGAAAACAGAAAACTTCATTTAGCGCGGAAGTGTCGTGCGGGGTAGTGTCGGCGCGGTAGTGTCGGCGCGCAAATGTCACGCACGGAAATGTCGTGGAACCGTTAAATCTTAAGCAGTTTTTTAATGTAAACGTAAAATTGACTTCAAAACAGGATTGATCTCTGCATCGCTTGTGTCACCTAATTGTTCTTGTAAAAGTTGTTGGTATGTCCGCATTAACATTTGCATTTGACCTATTTTTTGCATCAATTGCGAATATTGACGAGCTGCTTGAGAATAGGTAACGTATTTTTCGATCATATAGCGAGATAGTAGACTCATATAGATTGATTGTGCTTCATAGACTTGTTTACTATTCATAAGGCCTGGCTGTTCCTTTACTGCAATATCTTCAACGGAGATACTCTTGGTAAATGTCAATATCACCATCATCAGCTGCAAAATAATTGGATCATCATCAGAAATCTTCTTGATGAAACGAGACAGTTCATTGAATTGTAAATCAAATTGTTTTCCATAACAGTAGCACGACAGTTGTCTGCGAGCGACAGCATACTCTTCGCTTTCAGCTTCTGAATTAATTACGAGATCTCTATTTGTATCGTAATTCAGACATACACACATGGAAAATATCAAAGGAAAATTGTATTTGACTAACACGAAACGATCTTGTTCATTAAGTAATTTGAACTCAGGAATATTTCGAATGAATGTAATGAGTTGCATGCTGACATCAGAAACGACCGAAGTTAAGTAGAGTAAAGCCGAACGTCGATCGTTGATATGATCCAATGCAGATATATCACGTTTGGCTGCTGTGAGTCGGAAAGCTGTCTCATAAGAAAGCTTAACTGAGTTGAGCCGATTGTAGTCGTTAAGAGTGCAAAAAAGGTTTTGAGGAGGTAGTATAGTTTGTTGAACAGAAGGCAAATGAGTTGGTTGAAGTTGTTCTATAGTAGACTCCTTAAATGGCAAATATAGACGACGTAAAGAAACGTAGAATCTTCTTATTTCAACCTGACGCATCTCATGTCATAACTTCCACTCATCCCTTTTGACATAGATAGGCTATCATTAAACTCTAAGACTGAAAAAATATACCCTTTGCCAAAAAAAGTCTGAAAAAGGAGGAACTTAAATTTTCGAACAATTGCAAGTTATAAAGACACGGTTAAACAGAGCTGCGATCTTGACGACTAGAATGAGCACTTTTGAATGTAGTTGTGTACGCAAAAAAAGAAATTCCTATGCTTCTCCTATGAAATCGGTGTAAATATGAGAATTGACAAAATCTCCACATTCAAACTACCAGGATCAAGGTCGATTATTTTGAACAATGCCGCTTGTTATTAATTGCAGCCTAGGATGACTACGAGAGAACATATAGTCTCTTGAGGGTGAGGGTGAGGGTGTGGGTGTGCGGATGATTAGCTTCTCTTCGCCCACGACCTAAAAATTGCTAACTTTTTGCGAGTCCAACGCTGTAATTGGTTCGTTCATCAATTGTTCATTCTCTTCAAGAGATACACGTGTAAAACTTGTCTGCGCAAGAGTAGTAGACGCATTCTTCGTTGATCGTCTGTTTTCTTCCAGTTGTCGCTGCTGATGCAACTTTTCGTCCCTAGAAGAATTCCATTTCATACCTATGAAATAGAGTAAAAGATGCAATTTTATTTTGCTCATCTTCCAATCATAACAGAGTTATACACTTACCGGCTGATAGACACTTCTCTAGCCGACAACGTCTACATATTCGACGTCGATTTTTGAATTTTATATCACACTTGTTAGTGTTAGTTAAACATCTAAGATCGTTCTACAAAAAGAAGATGACAGAATCATGCAATTTAGTCCGAGAAATTCCATGGGGACTATCGATTTACCACATTTTGAGAGCCATTTCGATGAAAGAAAGATTTACATGATCCACAAGAAATGACATTGAAATTGTATCCAGAGCATTTATCTTCACATATTACACAAGTCATATTGGGTTGGCGACGTTGATACGATGCTTTTGTTTTATCTTCAATAGTTTTAGTGATCTAGACAATATGACTTTGTAGTATACCTCAGACAGATGTGATTTCAAAACACTTACAACATGTCTTGTTATACCAGCTAATGCACCACAATTTCCTGATTTTTGAATAATGGAGAGGAGATTTTGACATGTTTCATCATTGCCTGTAATAACGATTATACTAGTCCTTTGGTCTTTGGTAACAGAATTGTCAGTAGCCATTTGTCTTCAAAAAACAGAATTTTGATTACTCTTTTTTCTTTAGTGTGTTTTACGAGTGCAGCACGAAAGAGATGAAAGAAATTGCATATCGTATTTAATAGCAGACTGTAAGGATTTTTTCTGTTTTAATCAATGACAAATAAACAAAAGAGCAATGACGAAGACTTACTATTTTCTTTTCTGTTTCATTATGATTTCTATGTAAGAATAGAACTGATGAGAAGGAGAATAATACGTTGTCATGCAGCTGTCAAAAACATTTCAGGTCGAAACTTTTGGACCGGATCCGGACGCAATGAGCCGAAAATTATCGGAACATGGAAGCAGTATTTTAAACCATCTATTGCAATAATTTTCATCGCGGTGTGAGATCTTCGTGGATCTTCACTTGTTTTACAAATACTTCGGTCTCTTCGAGAATTTGTTTTCGTTTCTCATTAGCTAGTGCGAAGATTTGGCATTTGAGTTTAAATTATGATCACTGGAATTTTGCTACCATCAGGTACGCCGTTCATCTCTCGTTTTGTATACGTCGTTTAACGGTATATTTGCCAAAATAGAGCCAATTGTATTTGAATCTCTTATGTCTCATAAATGTTCCAGAAGAGCCTATGATAAAATAATTACAATATGTTATCTCGATAATCAGTAAAAAGGACGGGGGCGTATAAGCTATAGAAAATGGGCCACTAGGGGTTTATTGACTGTTCGTTGACAATTTTTTTTAGAAAGGTAAGGCACGTTTTATTAAAGTATATCCAAGTAAGACTATGCATGTTGAGCCAATTGAAAACAAATCAATCTATATCTTTTAAATAATATAAATTAATCTGCTACTCTCAGCTTTTACTTTTCAGTAATCGATTGTTATGTCGATTTGAAATATTATTTTAAATTTAATTGAATATGTGCTCTTGAATTAAATTGTATAAGAGATAATGCAGATTTTATTTAACGCCGACGCGTTTCGTATCTTTTATAAGATAGTACTCTTCAGGGCTTGTAATAGATAAATATATATCTGAATTAGATAGAATAATATATGATTATTTATTTTTATTATTATTATGTAAAAATAAATACAACACTTGAATAAAAAGAAAATAAGAAAAAAGAAATAGATTTGAAATATTTATTTTTATTTTTTTAAAGCCAACTAAATTTCTAAGTTTATTTTTTTATAGATGCTAATGAAGAAATTTTATTTATTCTAAATTTGAAGATGATTTACATCTAACTTTTGATCATCATATGGATACAATGTCACTTTACACGACCTTGTAACTTCCATAATTAATTCTTCTGTTGTGTCTGCTAGTGTTCTTTCATTGATGTAAACAATTTGACATGATTTCAACGGTAAAAAATTGGATAAATATTTTTGTTTTTTTACTCCTTTTTATTTCAGTTGTTTTATTTAATATTTCAATTATAAATTTTTGTTTTATTTTGTAAATAAAAATTGAAAAACATGCAAGAAAAATATAAATCAATATGACAAAAAAAAAATAATAGATCATATTGCATCTGTTGCATCAATTGAAACATAGATGTATCATTTTTCAGTTATTCGTGGTTTTTTATTTTATCTAAAATTAAAACGAAATCTTAAGATACAAAATTAATTTGAAATTTAATTAGAAAAATTTAAAAGATCGTTTAATCGATTAATAATATTTATTGCAGATGAATAAAAAAAATGAGTACAAAAAAGAAATAAAAAGTGGAAAGATTAAAATACTAAAATTTTATTTAAAAAATAGTTTATTTTTTAGGTATATGAATAATATAGGGATGATTTAAACTATTTTCATTAAAAAGACCAAAATGTGCAATTTGTATTAGATTATTATAACAATTATTTAAAAAATATACATATTTTTGTTCGTAAAATATGAATTTCATTATTGATTTGATGAGCCAAAATTGAATACTTTGTTTATCTGCTGGTAAATTATCGAGTTGAATTAATACGATTGTAGATGACATACCACCTAAAAATTCAATTTCAATTACATTTGACTTGTTATTGTTGTTGCTGTAATTGTTGCTGTAGCTTGTGTGTTTTGTATTTATAATGAATGATGTTGTATTTTCTGCAAGTTGGATCAAACGGTGAATTAATGTGCGAACTGTATTTTTATTTATTATATTTATATCATTGTGAATGATACATGAAAAGCGGTTTAAATAATTAGCTGTTGGGAATGACACTAAATCAACACTTCAATAGTAGAAAAAATCCAAAGAAAAGTACCACACAAAATTACTTTTTTTAATTTTAATTTTATTTAGAACGAATTGAATTACTGCAGCTGATGAATCAAGTGAATTTTTTTTGTCCAAAATATTTATTTCATGAAACTTACATGCAAGATAATATAGATTTATTTATTTAAATGTATGAAGCATTTTAAGCGAAGAAATATAAAATGACTAATGAATATAATACTCGAAAAAATGAAAATGAAAGAATGGCAGCATACTGATAAGCACTAAAACAAAAGAAATAAAGTAATTTATTTCGCCTATCATCCCTATTCAGACGTGTATCCGTGATTATATCCGATCTTATCACTTGCAACAGACGGCACTGATGGATAATTCATTTTATTTCGTTGCATTGATCGTGTTTTGATTAGTTCATTTTTTTGTATTTCTCTCATTTGTTGTTGCAATACTTGTAATTGTTTTTGTAATTCTTCTTTTTCTTTACTGCTTTTTGTTTCTTAAACACGACGAGTAAATGTTTTTGATAAATATAATCAAAAATTATTACACGGGCTACATCCAGCTCGAAATATTATTAAATAAATTATATATAAAACAACTAAAGCGACTAAAATTAAATCAATAATATCACGCCTACTTGTAAGTTGTGGACCTTTTTTTGAATGATGATCCGATATAGTATTTGTTAAAATAGTAGTACTGATTGAATTATTAAATAAAAAATTTATCATATTCCGCTGTTCATGTATTGTAGCATGTATTGCATTTATTTTATTATTTGTACTTTCACCCCAACGCTTATATCTTCGACCAATACTATTACATTCAATTTCCATAAAAAGACATGAATGTTCTTTTAAAAATTTTTTCATTTCATCAAATGTCATATGATTTTCACATAGATTTGTTTGATTTTCTGTCACATTGTATTCAACCAAATTATTTTCTTTATTTTCAGACATAACCAATGCATTTGATAATGTTTTTGTACATAGCATCATGACAAAGAAATAGAACATATTAATTGACATGTTTGTTAATGATACTTTTGTTTGTTTTTTTGTATCGGAAAAAAATGGAAAAGAAAATGATGTTTAAATTAAAAGAAAAAGAAATTGAAGCAAAAAAACAAAAGAAAAAAATCAATGTTTATTCAGAATTAGTTCAACTAATTTTTTTCTTTAATTGCAAAATTTTAACGAGGTTTTAATTTAGCACACCAAAGACCATTTCTTAAACGAATGTTATCGGTATTCATAAATATATGACCGAATGTATTTAATTTCGCTTCAGTATGCGTAACAAATAAATAATGAATAATACGACGAAATAAATCTGTTGTAAAAGGTGGCATAACAGCTATTATTGCTGCATTATAAACATAGACATTATTATTAAAGGTTTCATTAAGTATATTTTTTCGAAAAATATCAATTTGTTTTTCAATTTGACGTTTAGAAAATTTAAAACCAGCAGGTGGTGGTGGTAAATGAGCAAAATAATTTTGAATCTCGGGATCATCAGTTGGATTAACATTATTTGTTGTTGTTGTTATTGATGAACGTATTGATCGATAAGAAATATTATCCTGATTTGCTTGTTCATTTGACATTGGTACAAATGGCCAATATGCTGGATTTTTTTCTAAAAACATTTGTATCGCAACTGAACATTGCATTGTATGTTGATATAATAACATATTATCCTTGTTTGACGATAGTCCATACGGTTCATGTTGTTGCCTATTTCGATGATTACCATGACCAATCAAAAATTTTCGTATTGCATTATTAGCAATTTGACAATGATTATTTAATCGTTCTTCTAAACGAAATTTACTTTCACTAATAAAATCGAATTCATTGCATACACATATCAATACATAAATATAATTTTTTGTATTACAATCCACCGGACAATTCAAAATTGATTCATATTTATTGACAAAACGATGTTTTCCAAAACGATTAAATTCAACAGGTGGTTGATCACCATTTTCATCAACCATGGGCATTAAACATAATTTACATGAACTACATTTTCACATTGTATATAAACAGTCAGTTGGTTTCATGGAAAATATTCCTTCAGCTTCGAATCTTGGTTGTGCTCCACGGAACGAACACGTTTTCATATAAAATAAATCGACATCGATTTGTAAATAAAATTCCAATAATTGTGGCAATTCATCTTCACTTAATTCCACTAAATCTTCGGTACTTTTATTACCTGGTAATATACGAGTTCGTGTTGTACGAAATAACATAAGATATTCTTGTAATCGCGCAAAATTGTGATCTAATATTGATAGATCAAGTTTAAAACGTTGGTGAATTGTACCGAACATTTTATTATAAAATTTTATCATTATTGATGGTGTTGTTGGATCAGGATTTGTAATTACAAAGGAACATTTGTATCTTCCTTCTTGACGACTAGCTAATTGTTCGGCAGATAATTCAAAAGCTGGAACATTAGCTAATAACAATTGTGGATTATCATTAAAAATGACCGATGGAAATGTTGGTAAAATTGATACACGACGCCGATTGTATGCAGAAATTGTTATTGGTATATAAACAGATTGAATAGTAAAGGATGATGCTTTTTTTGGTGTTGCTAAATCGATCAATTGTATTTCTTGATTATTTTTGCTTGTTGTAGATTGACATGTTGCTCGCTTTTTTTTAAGTGCCCGTTGTGGTGTAGTTTTTGATACTATTGAATGTATATTATTAGCTTGATCTGTTGTTACACTTTGATCTTGTATTTTGAATGGTGCCGTTGATGTTTGACATTGAACATCTATTAATTGAACATTATTCTTATTGTCTTCTTCATCAGAAATAAGTACGACAGATAGATGACGTTCGATATTTTCATTTGACATTTTTGTTTATTTTCAATATGAATGATAAATGAAATCTACAATAGTGATAGATGAAGTATTTTATTAATTAGAATATTTCATGAAACAAG